AAGAAATGAAAAAAAAAAAAAAAAAGTCTTAGGTGGCTGAAGTTGTATTTAAGCAACTCTTCATTCCTGGGAATGGCAGCCAGGCTAAGAGTTGGGGGCTGGGGATATAGCTCAGTGGCATAAGTGCCTGCCTGACAAGCACAAGGTCGTGAGTTTGATCCCTAAAAAAAAAAAAAAAAAAAAAAAAAAAAAGTCTCATGTGTGCAAAGCTGGGGCTTTTGGAAGATGATTGGATCATGAGGGTGCTGTATCAGTGGATTCATCCATTCACGAGTTTGTACCTGAATGTGCTGTTGGGAGGCGGGGCCTGTTGGGAGAAGGTGGGTCCCTGGGAGCATGGCCTGGAACACACAGTAAATATTCTCATTCATGAGTATATTGTGGTATTTCCTGCATGTGCACGATGTATAATGATCATTCCAATCAGCTCAAGACCAACAGCCTCTGTCTCACAGACCACACCACCAGGCATCCTTCTCAGAAGAGACAGAATGGAAAATGCACTGTGGACAACAAGAAAAATCACCTTAGTCATTCTACAGGCGCAGACTGAAAATATGTCCGCTCTCTGTTTCCGGGCCTTCCCAGTAGCCTGGGTGCTTTGTGGCCTGACTGTGGTTAATGAGGGTAATGAACTTGGACACTGAAGAATTACTGCCCGGGCAACTCTTCCAGGTTCCCGGTGTTTCTTTTCAAGGGGCCTACTTCCTGCTGGCAGTAACATTTGTTTACCTTGAAAATGAAAGAAGACACTTTTATGGCCGAAAGTCTCCATGGTGCGCGGGAGCCTCGCTCATGAAGCTCCGGGCTTCACCCCTTCCCGTGGGGAGCTGGGGAGCGGCAAAGGGGCCACCCCCAAACAGAAGCCAATTAGAGCCAAGCGAGGCTAGATTTATTCCTGGGTCGTTGTTCCCCAGAACACTGTTTTCTTGGGAACTAAAGGCGATCGGCCAGAGGCTGCGGCCTGCTCTGCACAGAGAGCGTTGTCTGGCTTTTGAGGTCAGCAGTCTGGAAACCTCCACTCCTCCCCAGTCAGTGCACTTGCGTCTTAAAATTTCTAATTTTTAGTCTACGCATCTAGGGATAGTTCTCCCTTCTTAAAATAATCAAGCCTTCAACCAAGGATCAGACATTACCCATGTCTCAGTCTTCATGGTGAGGCCAGTCTTGTCACACACAAAACAAAACAAAGAATGTTCCAGAAGGAGAATGGGAAACCAGTTCCCAACATGGGCTCCATTTTGAATACTGAGGTACCAGCACAGTCGAACCACCTGCCGGTTCCTTTCTCCAGATAAACCATGTCAACAGCAGGGTCTTCCATTGTCATTTCCCTGGAGCAAATGACAACTCTTATGGTCGGGTCTTGATTTTATGAAAACTTTATCATGAGAGTGAAGATGTTAATTTTCATGAGGAGAATCTCTTTTGAGATTGTAATAGAAGCCAGTAGACTGGTTATCTTTTTTTTTTTTTTTTAAGCAGACATAAGTGCCTTTCCAAGTCTGAGGGCCACTAGCTTCTAAAATGGAGTATATCTGAGACAACAGGGGAAGTCTGAGGAAAAGAGTATTCAGCGGATGTACATTTTAAGTGGTAGCTAGCAGCAGATAATATTTCTTAAAAGAGGGACATGCCCCTCTTTGTAAAGAAGAAAGTGGGTAGCCCTTCCCTTCTAATTAGAAAGTCTGGCATAAAGAGTGTCCCATTTGCATGGCGACACACTATAATTCTTCCCAGTGGGACTTCTTTCTCTCATGGAAGAAAGGGTAAGAGACACCGAGAGAAAACCAACATCTTTCATCCGATTAGCTGGGGTGATTGGAGAAGAATATTCCTCCCGAGGAAGAAAGGATCCTGGCAGAGTGGGAAGCTGTAAGGAAAAGCTTCTCATAGGAACTGAAAACTCCACACCACCCCCAGAATGGAAAATGGAAACACGGGGTGAGCTGGTAGAAATTAAGGATGAATGTGGAAGAGTGACACTAGAAATTTGCTTTAAAAACTATAAAAAATTTTTAAAAAACTATAAAATTTTTTTTGCTAGGAGAATCCCTATAAAAACAAGCATTGCAAACTTCCGTGTGACAACACCCCTGCCCACCGTCATTACTGTGGGGCTAATTCTCCGTATTAATTGGACAAGTACATTCCCAGCCTGTATCTCTAGCAGGTGAGGACTCTTGTGAAAACACAAAAACATCATCAGACAAAAACCAGACCAAACCAACAGGAATTCCTTACATCACCAAGGCTTTGGGTTTTGCCACATGTTCATTTAAAGCAAGGTTTTGTGGTGAGATCCAGACAATGCAATTGGCTTCTTAAAAATGATTGGTTCCGTGGGGAGATGGGGTGTGGGGTTGCTTGTATAAAGCACTGTATGGAACATAGTGGGAACCTGGCTCCTGGCATGGATCCTTTTTTAAAATTATTCTTAAAGATTTTTTTCTTTCTGCTTGAGACGGGGTCTCTCTATGCAGTTCAGGCTGGGCTTGAGCTCACTTTGTAGCCCAGGCTGGTCTTAAACTCGCAATGATCCTCCTGCCTCAGCCTCTCGAGTGCTGGGATTACAGGCGTGCGCTCCCCCCCACCCCCCCACCCCCGCTCCTGCGTAGACCCTTAAGGGAGTGGGTCCATGGTGAGATGGCTCTTGGGCTTGGGAGTGGCAGGAATGTGGCTTTAGGAGACTCACTGGGGGCCAAGTCTTTTCAGGACAATAGTCAACACTAGTTACTGGTCACTGCCCTTAGGCAAGTGCAGAGGTGAGGCCCCTCCTTATAGGAACGGGGATCAGAGTCACCAGCACAGACCCCAGCCCGT